TCAGCAAGGAATTTGCATTTGCACTGTTAGATTGATATTTTGTCTCGCATCAATTATATCGTCAGTTATATCGTTATCGCAAATTTTCAAATATATATTGTGATAAATATTTTTGGCCATATCGCCCTGCTCTACGTTCAACTGGTTAACACCAGTATATGATCATCAAACGATGAGTGAGCCTGAGTATTTCAGAAACTTCTTATTTACTGGGATTTTACCACACAGTCATTTCGAGCACTTAGAGATGGCTGTGCCAGTGATTATCAGTTGTCTGAGTGAAAATCTCTCGAAGTTAGCAGAGGTTGGAGGAGAATGTCCAGAATGCTTCAAGCTGATACCAAGGCAACAGTAACTCAAATAAGCACTGGTTACAACCAAGGTACACAGAAGAGCATCTCTGAATGCATAAATGTGTAAAACCTTGAGGCAGATGGGCTACACCAGTTGACCGCCACACCTGTAGGATAAAAGCAGGAAGCAGAGCTACTGGTCCCATAGGTTCACCAAAATTGGACAGAAAAACCATGATAAGAAAAACTATGCCTGTTCTGATGAGTCGTAATTCTTACTGTGATTTAGATATTTGACTTTGTCAGAGACTATATGAAAGGATGGATCCATCCTACCTTGTATCAGTGGTTCAGGCTGCTGTTGGTGGTGTAATTGTGTGGGTGATCGTTTCTTGGCACAGTTTGTGCCCCTTAGTACCAACTGAGTGTAATTTATATGTCACAGCCTACCTAAGTATTGTTAGTACCTTTATAACCACAGTTTGCCCACATTCCAATGTCTGAAAGCTCAAATCCTCTCAAACTAGCATTTTGAGCATGACAATGAGTATATAAGGGGAGCACTGTCAGCTTCAGCTCTACTGAAGTGTGTCCAAGCCTTAGAACACTCCCTCACTAAGAGCAGGATCTCAGCTGGTTGTATCCCTGCCCCTCACTCAGACTTCAGGAGAAAGAGCTCTCTTTTGAATTGTGAAGAGGAAAAGAAAGAAAAACCCCACCAAAGAAGGATGTCTTATTCTTAGAGCAAGTTAGAAACTGTGTCAGTGAGATAAAACATGCAAGATAGCCCTTTGTATCAATATTTTTTCACTTCTCCAATACAGAGGGCAGAATTGATATTGTTAGAGTTTAGCAACACTTCAGTCTTGTATAACTTAGTTAGAGGGCTTTTCAGGTTGTTACTTACGCCATCTGTCTCTAGGACGTCTACATTGCCGTTTGCATCATCATCCATCTGCTTATGGATATTACGGATAGCTTCAAAGGTGAGAAAGGCATTTTCATCCTTGCATAGTGGCTCATCAATGCGACAAAAATCTGGTGAAGAAACAGAAGTCATATCCACAAGTTGTTAAGTGACAAAGGTCCACAAATTCTTCGACTTATATTTACTTTTTTCCTTATTCTACAATTACTAATTTACTTTTTACAATTACCAAAAATACCAAACAAACAAACAAAAGCCCAACTGGATAAAGAGTAGATGTAACTATGCACAGATAAACAAAAAACATTTATATAACATTAGAGGTTTTCGTAAAAATAATAATGTCTAAGATGTTCTTTTTTGCGCTTAGCACTTCATTTGTAACACTGCAACACTGTGATGCAATAAAGGCTAATAGCTTTTAATCTTGTGTGCACTTTCCTGCAGAAAAGACAGAAAACCTTCGCAATGTCCCCTGCTGAACTGGCTTCCCCACAGCACTCTCTTTAGCAAAGATAACTGAACTGCAACATTCCTTGGCTGCATAGGAAGGCTTGTTTATACAAGACCTTTCGCTTACTGCGGGCTGTTACAAAGCCAGGTACTCTTGACTGTATCTGCTACACCTATGTGTAGACCAAAAACAGACCATTCACTGAACTGAATCGATCTTAAATAACTATGAGCTTTCAACATGTAGAGACATCATAATTTTAGATGTCATTGTCACTATTCTGTTTAATGTCAAGAAACTCAGGTTTTCTATTCTACAGGCTTTAGTATTGTATAAAAATATCCATATGTAGGACTCTAATTATACAGAAAACAAAATGGACATCTCTTATGATGTCCCTGCATGCCCACTGTTTTCCTGTGTCACTTTGCTTCCTGAGGGATTACTGATCCTCTGCAAGATATGAAACGATGACGCCACTCCCATTAAGAGGAAAACATTTTTGCATGTGTGCAGCAATGGCAGTTTTAAGAGTGTGTGTGCATTCCTTGATTGAATGCAGCACGGTTCAGGTAAACTTACAAGAACAGTACTCATGAAAGCTTCATATTCTATTGATTTCAAATCTATCTTCTAAATCTAGCTTGTATGAACTATATGCAGCTCTGATCTCAGGTATATCTCAGACACTATTTTAACCAATGAAGGGAATGACTAATATTACAAAACAAAAAGTTTAGAAAACATAAGTAAGATTAAGAAGCATATATTAAAGCAGTAAGCTTTGCTACACAATTGACTAAATTTTAACCACAAAAGGAAACGATGAAAAAAAAAAAGAGTTAAAAGGGAAGCACGCCTTGCCTGCATGCCAACAAGAAATAGTGGTTAAGACTTCCTTTCTGGGTCTGAACTTGGATTTTTTACAGCAACAACATACTCCTGGAGAAACATTTTTATGGAACCTTTTAATCACACTACAGATTACTGACAAAAACCTTGATTCTAGGTTGAAAACTGAGCAGTGTTGACTCTCAGGCAAGGATTCTTCTTTTTGTTGTACCATCTTTCCCATAACATGGTGTAGCAGTATGCAAACATAACCTCACTTCCCCTTTCATAAATGAGCTCATGCAGCTTCATCATTAATCAATGACACCCACATTATTTTTCTCAACTATAACAGACTGCAGGCATTTGGCTTGCATTGTGCCGGAGGCTACAGTGTAATGCCCCCTCCTACTGATCAACACATCATACCAATCCATGTTTCGTTAATTCCCAGAACTGGATGTTTTGACATGCAGGCTTAGCAATTAAGGACAGAGAACAGAGAGTAAAAATGTCACAGATTAATACCTGAAATAATTTCTGTCCATGAATTTGTGTCTGTAAGCCTATAAAACTTTTTTTTTTAAACTAGCAAAGTGTACCTTATGGTCTATATGACAACACTAAAGATAGAAATAGGAAGGATGGTGTGGGTGAACTTCCGTGTAGTTATAAGTTCATTTGTGAGCATGCACGCTTTCAACTTTCAGCAAACTTGCAAAGCCACATACCACAAAGTGATTACTCACTTTCAACGTTAACACACTTTGCGTTAAACAAAAAAAAAAAAAAAAAAGACAGTTATTCCAGTAAAAAGTCTACCACCTGTAACACTCTCAAACGCCAAACCTGGCCTTCTCTCTCTTTCTCATTTGGCTTGCAAACCTCCAGAGACACAAGATAAGATATTTGCATATATATATATATATATATATATATATATATTTTTTTTTTAAAAGAGCTCAGGTTACTCACGTCAATCTGTTAGCTTCCATTTAGATGAAGAATACACCCATAGCTTTTCCACCCCATAAATCCTTCTTCCACTGTCTCCCATGATAATTTAGAATACCAGTCAAGCTTTAAAAATCACTGTCACATCAAGAATAAATTATATGGCACACTGAAATTTTTAGGAGTAAAATACATTTGAAGTGCATCATCTCTACTAATGCGTGTAGACAATTTGGGCAGTTTCTCATTTCACTGCACTGTTCAATAATAAAAATGTAGAAATGATTGATTCAGTGGTACTGGTTTGCTATTCAAAAAAGTATAGAAACGATTTACAAAGTAAAAAAATAAAAATCCATTGTAATCCAATAAATAAAATCATTAAACTAGTGGACTTCTAAATAACAAGGTTATAATTGGCTGATGTGCCTTTGTCTTTTGTGCTACAAGTAGTTGGAAAATGATTATTTTAATCTATATTTACTGGAAATAAAATGCCTACATTCACCCAATAGTCATTCTTTCCACTAATGTTTTTTCTTTGATGAACTGCTTATTGTTTGACTCAGTGGCTAGATCGAAGTAGGAGGACAGGGCTTAATGGCAAATGCCAGCCAGACTATTCTCAGCATGGCTACATTTAGTGCCTGCACACAATCGCAATGTTGTGACACAGACTGCTGTCCTCAAACAGGCGGTATAGTGTGTGTCAAGAGGGATACAATTACATCTTTCACGGTTTGCTATAACAAATTATTGCCATGATTGATTACTCACCTGGCATTCCATTTTCAGCAAGTTGACTGTCCACCGGTGTAGGTGAACTTGGCTTTTCAGTCCAACTTTCTCCAACGAGACACAAACACAATATCCACAAGCTCAAGGATCTGTGGAGCTCCATGACTTGTGTACGCTGGAAATAAGATAAGAGTCCATCAAACACTCTGACAACTCTTGCATAACACATTCAGAGTGTAGTGGTGGTATATTACAACATATGACCGCTTTCCCAGGGACAGGGAACTAGTTAAGCAGCTTATAGCACACCAAGAAATGCTGTTACATAAAGCTCACTTCTCATGCGTGACTCTTCTTCCTGAACGAGCCATCGAACAGTCATTAGCTTACTAATACCTGGTTGTAGCTAAGGTAACCTTTAAGCCATTGCTATGCTGGTTTAGTTGGTATGTGGCCCTTTTTTTTTTATCCCTATAATTCCCCAAAATATCACTTCAGGAAGAGAAGTAAAAAGATTATGAGAAAGTGACAGAAGTCTGGTCCGTCTCGTAGTTTGATGTCTAAAAAGGGCTTGGCGTGCTAGCTAGCTAGCTTGACATCTCCGTTAACTCGACAATTGGGTGTAATAGCCTCCAATGGAAAAAACAACAGTCTAACCCGCCTCATATAGACTCTTCTATAGTTTTCAGATGGAGGTGTTTATTTCACTGTCGACTTGCTGCATTTTCTACAGGCGCACATTAGCGACTGCTGACGTTTAGCTAACCACAAGAGAGAGCGCTACCGACGAGGGATTGTAGTTTTTATCTACGCTGGATGCTACTACAGGGACACCACAACACAGGATAAAGTTACCTGTCATGTATCGGAGCAAGCAGGGCTGTCTTTTCAGCTCTCTGTTAACATCACAAGAGACGACTGGTCCCGCGTAGCTTAAGCACGGCGAACTCCACCTCCTGTGAGAGGTCTCGCTCTTCCACCGACCGAGAGACCGAACCGAAAAAGCCGCAGAATGTGGACAGACGTGAACTGTCTTCCTCTACAGTGAAAAGGCACTAGTACTCCCTCCTCCTCCGTATAGTCATCATCGGCTAATGACGCCCCCTAGCGTTTGGAGTGTAGGCTATACTTGATCCAAGCGTCCAAGCTGAAGAGAGACATTAAGACATCGAGTATTTTTGCAATAATGAGGAAAAAAAATATTTGTCTCTTTATCACCTATTTTTTGGACTATAATAGAATATTATACAACATTTAAAACAAAAACTATGACTTTTTCAATCTCTGCTCTTTGTAGCGTTACACAGCTGAATTCAACAAGCTATAACCAGATTTTACACAAGCCGTCATGGCTGATGGAGTCCATCCCAGCTACCATGAGATGAGAGGTGGGGTTCACCCTGGACAGGTCGTCAGTCTTGACAACAGCAAGGGCAAGGCAATGACACTTTCCCCTGCTTACAAAATCAGCTTACTATCACCTCAAGAATATTTCAAGGATAAAAGATCTGATGTCTCAACAGGACCTGGAAAAACTAGTCCATGCATTCATCTTTAGTAGGCTTGATTACTGTAACAGGATCTTTACAGGTCTACCCAAAAAATCAGTCAGACATCTACAGCTCATTCAGAACTCTGCTGCTCGGGTCCTCACTAAGACTAAAAGAGTGGACCACATCAGTCCAGCTCTGAGGTCTTTACACTGGCTGCCTGTCCGTCAGAGGATAGACTTTAAAGTTCTGATGCTGGTCTATAAAGCTCTGAATGGTTTAGGACCAAAATACATCAGTGACCTCCTGACCCAGTATGAACCTTCCAGATCCCTCAGGTCATCTGGGTCCGTTTTTTTTTATCAGTTCCCAGAGTCAGAACCAGACACGGAGAAGCTGCATTCAGCTTTTATGCTCCATATATCTGGATCAAACTCCCATAAAGCCTCAGATCAGCTGAAACACTCAGTTTATTTAAACCCAGGTTGAAGACTCTCCTATTCTCAGCTGCATTTCAATAAAACACCAAATCCACACTGTTAAGCTTAAATTTCAAAACATTTTAACTACAGATTTTATCTACTGTTCTGATTTTATCTACTGTTTTTTTAATCAATTTTAAATCATGCTTTTTATTTGTTTTAGTTCTTTAATGTCTCTGTAAAGCACTTTGAATCACCTTGTTGTTGAATTGTGCTATATAAATAAACTTGCCTTGCCTTGCCTTGCTTAGATACATCCTCGTCCTGTGCATCTCAGATTGCTGGCTCATCTGTGTCTTATTGAATGACACACCAATCCAGGTTTTGATTGGCAGTTGCTCACAATTTTAAGCAAGTCAACATGCCAGCATTTTAAGCTGGATAAACCTAATCCTCCTCTCCACCACATGTGTTGTTTCAAAAGGAAGGCTACATCCCAGGATATTCACAGCAACAACACAACTAGATGTGTGTTAGGACAGGTGTGGACATCTGCTGCTTCACTGTGAAAGGCTGGAATGGTGTGACCTCTGTCCAAAGGGTGTGTCGAGGTGGAAATCCAAGAAGTGCAATACGTTCCTGTGCTTGAATGCACACCAGCAAAGCTTGGCAGGACACCCCTTGAAGTAAAGGGGATCTAATGCCCCCAAAACATGCTGCTCTGTTGAACTAAGATACATTTGAAGAAGGTTTATGGCTTTTGCTGAGAAATTTTAAAAGTGTCCAAAAATTTTATTTTACTGTTACTAATCTGGTTATCAATTCAGAGTTATACTATAAAGGGAAACCTTGACTGTTTGATAGAGACCTATATTTAAAAGAATAATGGTGCTTCAATTAAAAAATATATATATATTATTTTTTGTTACTTTTCTTACTAATTTTTTTTTTTAGAATTCCTGTTATTAAACATATGTACACACTTTGCAGAGTATATGTCTGCAATGTTGACTGTTTGGGCTAACACAGGGTCCTGTAGCTTTCCTGTAGAGTAAACCTGCACACTGAGGTATTTTCCAAGTCATGCCAATATATTATGGTGAATATCCTTAAGTTTGAGTGCAAAAAAAAGAATAAATATTGGAAGAAATTACTGTCATCACATCATGGTTCATAGGTTTCAGTATTATATAGCTTTTGTTAAAATCTTTAATGACATATTGAAGATATTTACTGACTACTTCATCTGAAAACAGAAGAACAAAGTAATAAACTTTTAGTGATGCGCTTCACATACATTTGTCACATAATATTTGATTAATATTATTGATTGATAGATTGATTAAAATTAGAACCTACACAGTACTATGCTTCTTGCCAGTAACCTGAGGATCATTTGCATCATCTGGTTTAGATATATGGGTGGATTATAAGACACTTCAGAGCAGTTCAAATTCAATCATATTGCAAGATATATACAGAGGAAATATTTTGAGACTACCTTACAATCTTGGTGGTATAATACAAATGAACAGTAGCATATAATGATGTCTTAAGTCAATCATAAGTTGAAGTGCATATATATTTTAAGTTCTGTTAGAACGATGAAATAACCTTTACAGTGATTTGTTTATTAGGCACAGCACAGTTTGCGCAAATATGCAAACAATTACATTTAAACTTTAACCAGACAAATTTATTTCCATGTGCAGGAATTCCTTAGTGCATACATGGAAAGTGTAAGGCCTACATAAACAGGACAGGCACCAACAGATATGGTACTGATAATGGTTTAACTAGTATAAAGAGATGCGCTGAAGTTGTGTAAAGGTAGTCAGGCTAAACCAACTTAAATTGTGCACCCTAAATTAAATTTGCCAGTTACATAGGTATTTTTAGCTGAACCTTCCTGGTATTGAGATCAGATAATATAGGCTTGTGTATTGATATTATAGGCTGATCTTAACTTTGAGCTGTAACCTGCCAATTTAACCATCATCACAAAAATGTGAATCTATCCCTAACACAGTGTTAACAAGACCTGAGTATTATCAGTTTCACAAATATAGGACTTTCTCAGGTAAGTTATTCACTGTATTGGATTATTTTACACGGTTGATTGATTGATTGATTGATTGATTGATTGATTGTTTTTTAAATTTAGGTACTTTAATTTCATTTGATTTTATCATGTTTTTCCTAAATCTGTTGATATGGCATGTCAATCTGGAGTATACTCTTTCATTTAAATCTACAGGTTTTTATTGGGGGAGCACAGCGAAGAGTTAGGTAATCAGGAAACAATAGTGTGCACAGTTCCTCACATATTATTGAGGAAATCTGATTTGAAAAGTGTTAAATTAACATTTCAACTGCCAATATTGCAGAAGTATTTAAAGTTATGATTTACTGAACTTTATTATGTCTCTGTTTGTGTTTTAAAAGCCTGACTAGGAATGGGCATGGCAAACTAGCTAAGGTTAAAAATACTCTGGTGTGTAATGTGGTTCCTGTAATATACTTGCCCTTTAAAAATAAACCATAAATAAGTAACAACATAGAATAAAGCGCTTTGTCAACAGCAACCTGAATATTGCATTTTATTACATGAAAGTGAGTATCGGTGCCAATCTTTTTTGAGGACTCTAAATAGAGTGCAGTGTTTCTGAAGCTGGACACTAAGGCTTAGAATTCAGAATGCATCCATTTCCTATCCTTGAGTTTATATTTCAAAATAAAAGCTAAGCATACTTGAAGAACTATCACTTTACTTTGGCACATTTCTAGTATGACCACATATTTGCTGTGCAGTGTATAAAAGTTAAAATGTCACTTTACATAACATCATGTAGGTTGGTGAAGGCATCCATGAATGAGACACTGAGGCAAAAAAAATGCACTTAAAGTTATCCTAATACCCCTACAGTAGCACATGTGCATATCTTATGTTCATTTGTCAGACATCATCACTCACTAAGGATTTATGAGTAGTCATCATGGAAATATATGGAAAAGGCCTTCATCCCACTCTTCCTCTTCAGCAGGATCAAGGCTGCTGTCATCAGGTGGTTGGGGGGTGGTACATGTAGTACCTAGTCCTTGACTTTCTAGTCAGAAGTCTTTATCCTCTGAAGATGAAATGAGCATGACCTCCCGGCTCTTAAAGTCCCACACGGCTGTAAGATGAAAGGCCATATTGGAGAAAACAACTAGATACTCAAACAGGGCAAAAAATGTGTAACCTGAAGAAACAGAGTACAGAAAAAATATAATTTGGTCAGAATATTGTGAATATTTGCATTACTGTAAATATGATGGTTGATGATTAATATTAATAAAGAAGCCCACAATCCACACAGAAACATAAGGATGGGTTAAATACTCACTTCCTGATTCACAGTACATGTTGTGTTTCCAGTAAAAGAATCCGGCAAAAGCACAGAAGCATACATTGAGAAGTAAGAAACGCACTTTCCAGTGGTGAGATTTGGCATCCTGTAAGGGCACAACAAAGTAAACAAATACTGAAATTGACTGTAATTCTACAAATGATATGGCAGTTTTTAGTTCTAGTGCCTCTTTTGCTATTTCTTACCTCAGGACTTAAGGAATATTTCTTAATAGATTTCCATAAACGGCAGGTTATCAACATGTAGATTAGAGAACTTACAATGAACAGGACAAAACCTTCCTTATGCACAACTAAGGAGCAAAAACACAAAGAGAAAGGGAAATTTGACCAACAAATGGGAAGAACTTGTGATAATATGTTATTAAACTTTGCATAAATGCACCAACCACCAGTCATATTATACTTAGAACAACTGAAACTGCTTGTTTTTAATGTCCAAGAATAGGTAATAGTATTATCAGTATTATTATTATTATAGTATTACGCTATAGTTGTACAGACAAGGCCTGTACAAAAATGCAAACTAAATTCAGAATACTCACAGTAAGTCTCAGTGGATGATACGTATGTGAGCAACAAGAGTCCAAGGTTTTCAGATATAGAAAAGCCCAGGTTTAAACAGCTGAGTGAACTCTCTAGAAACCTGGTAGCAAAGCGAGCCTTGTAAAACTTGAAGTAGGTAAAAGCCACCAGTAACCTTGGTGCTGAGTGTAGTCCAATGCAGAATCGCCAAATGTGGCACTCAGGACTTAAGCTGATAGAGGCACTTATAGATGGCAGGTAATTAGGAACCTAAACACACACAACAAGAATTTTGTTTAGGTTAAAAATATATAATCAATACATAATAAGGTATTGCAACTACTACCAAAGAACTAAACATGCACATTACCTGGCAGTGTGTACCAGTGGCATCTTCAAAATGAAAAACAGAGGATATGAAGACACAAGTGATGAGCCCGAGCAGGGGTAGGCACACAGTCGCCAGAACACAGGTGGCGAATGATACCCTAATAACCAGGGGTCTTTCATGCCCCAAAATATTTGAACTTTGTAGCATTTTAGATTGCGACAGCGGGAAAAGAAACAATCGTGTAAAGATGATCACATACGGGATATAACGCTCTTGGCATCTGTAGCTATGCTAGGTAAGAAGAAAATAGACTGGAGATGAGTAAACATGTCAAGTACATCCATAAGGTCAATATTTATCTTGAACCTCTTGGGAACATTTCAGATTTAAAACATTCGCGTGAATTTACTGAACATGTAATGGCTAAATCCATCCTACCTTCACCCTGTTTACTGTTTGCCAGTGGTCTCTCCCAACAATACCTACGCTGTAACAATAATATTTAAGAATGCAGGGCGGTGGACGTGCATTTCTCAATCAGCTATCGTCGATCGCCTAAAACACTGCTCAGCTCATCCAGTCATTTTAAATTCCCGCATTTTAGGGGGTGTTTGTTTTTTGCATTACGCGACCTCAGATGAATGCTCCGATGAGATGATAACGGGCCTGCGGGTGTAGCATCCTTGTCGTGTAAAACGAGTAGGTGGGGACCACCAGCACCCGGAAGAGAAAGTCGAGGAGGACAGTGTTGTGATTGCTACAGCATATATATTTCGACATAATGCAAATTATATATTATGTAATTATTATCTTTTTTTTAAAATCATTAAATCTGCAGATTTAGCCCGAAGACAAGGAGCGAGAAATGTGTTATTATTTGTTTGTTAGTTGCCGGTAGCTCTCCGTGGTGCTGAATCACAGCAAACAGGGGGACGATCCTTATTATCATTAATTCGCCACCAAAACCCCATCAAAGATAATACACAACACCACCTTTAACTCGCCGTGTTTGTGCAGGGTGTACACGTGGTCGTATCAGCTGGATTCGTTCGCCCCGCCCCTTCCCGAGCGCTTGTTGGGCTTGTTCAGCACCGGATTACATCGCTGCTGACGTCCCCCATCGGTGTGTTTTTGTAAAGACTATTTTCGGCGAATAAAACGTATTTGGGGACAGAGCAGTTCAAATGGTTCTCGGATGGAGGGCATTTGCTTCAGCAAGATGAAACAATGGCGAATCCAGACTTTATTCCGCTGGCTGCTGTGTGTCGGTATTTTGCCGAGTAAGTTTACTTTCGTTTTATTTTCTGTTTACCTCGTATAATCTAAAACGATGTCGGTATGTCGATCAGTTTTGCGTTCCTATTTAGGTTGGTTTAATATCATATGAAAGGGAACTATATTAAAACTGTCCTAGCAGAGAAGAAAGCTTTAGATAACATTTTTCTATAAAGTGTGGTTGGACGTGTGATTCCAGTCATCTGTATTTCATTGCATCTATTATATTTTATAGAACATCCTTTTCACCTCATATTTCCTCTCCCCCTCAAGCTGTTTCCCGGAATCCGCAAACTTGTTGCCAGCTGTTTGGGGATTTTGCTGTCATCATAATCCTGTAGACCTTCTTTGCATCCAGCTCAGAGGCTTTATTGAAACAGGACTCGAGGTTAACATCTGGTTAGTCCAAATCCATTGTTGACACTGGGAATAAATTTAGTGCTATAAATTGCGTTTCCTGTTGAAAACTCTTCCTGCTCGTTTCCTGATTGATGAGTGATTATTTTAATTCGATTTTATTTTAATGCGTGAATAATGGCTTCATGCGTTTGACGAATAATTCCCAATACTTTCCCTCCAGGTTTAGGCTCATTTTTATTTGTTGTTTGTTCACTGGATTAATGTTGCATGTTGGACTCCAAATACAGAGCTTTAGCAGAGAAAGTCACTGTTGGCACATGTTGGCAGATGTGTTTGGTCTATTTCTAGAGCCTTGTAGAAGGGAAATATAGATTGCCATTGCCCTTTGTTCCCTACCACCATCTGTTGTACCATCCATATTTTGTCTCACATGCCCCACATGTTTCTCCCTTTTCTTGCAACCCTCTAAATCCACAGCACTGCCTTTGCTGTGCATGTCACTGGCTTGAAAATCTAATGATCCGTGATCACACCAGCATGCCTTTCATAGCAAACACATATTTTCCTCGATTAAAATGGAAATACATGAATACTGAAATGCATCACATGTTTTGTGTTAACATAACTTTCAACTGCTTTGTTCCTTGCCCTAGCTTGTTGGTGTGCTCATGGAAGATATGCTCAGAAACTCCTAAAGGATTTGTTCACAAACTACACTAGCGCACTGAGGCCTGTAGAGGACACAAACACCATCCTGAATGTAACTCTACAGGTTACACTCTCCCAGATAATTGACATGGTAAACTCCCACAGTGCACATAACTGTATGAGTGAAATTGATTCATGCAGATCCATCTGTAATGCTGTTTTGTATTTTATTTTATTTTGTTTTATTTTTTATTTTTACTGTTTTAACTGTAATATTCCCCTTTTATGATCACCTTTCTCAATATTTTACAGGATGAGCGAAATCAAATTCTAACTGCATATTTATGGATACGGCAAGTGTGGTTTGATGCACACCTTAAATGGAATAAAGATGATTATGATGGCCTTGATACCATCCGCATACCGGGTAGTTATGTATGGAGACCTGATATAGTTCTCTATAACAGGTAGGTTGGATGGGCATAGAGTTCACAAATTCAGTACTGTATCACGACATTCTGCCCAATATGAAATACACAAGCTAAACATGCTTTGAAGCTGTCATTTGTAGGTGTCTAGGCCTATGTCGGCTGCTTCTTATAGTCCAATAATGCAGCATATACAACAGTCTAGGTAAAAACAAAAACATTAAATTTGAATTTTAGAAAAGTGATTGAAAGTGCAAGAAAGTATTAGGTAAGTAGGTGTAAAGTAATTCCATATAGTGATGCCTCCCATGGTTTAAAAGTGTCATTGAAACTAAAGGATGCTGAAACATTAAACATAATCATGTTATATTATTGAAAAGCTATAAAAACAGACACGATCCTAGTGTACTTGTGCCTTTCCAGTTTGAAACTAATCAAAGCTGTTTTTGTAAAAGACCTATCCAACATTGTTTTTTCAGCAATGATTTCTTTGTTTTTTAGCGCAGATGATCATTTCACTGGTCCCATGGACACCAATGTGGTGATTCGACATGATGGACAGATAATGTGGGATTCTCCAGCAATCACTAAGAGCTCATGCAAGGTGGATGTGTCTTTCTTCCCCTTTGATGCTCAGCAATGCCGGTTCACCTACGGCTCCTGGACCTACAACGGTAACCAGCTTGACATCCTTAATGCAATGGAGAGTGCAGACCTGGCTGACCTGGTGGAAAACGTTGAGTGGGAGGTGCTTGGTATGCCGGCTAAGAAGAGCATTGTTCTATATGGTTGCTGTGCTGACCCTTACCCAGATGTGACCTACACACTGAAACTTAAGAGGAAAGCATCCTTCTATGTCTTCAACCTGCTCATACCATGTGTGATGATCTCTTTTCTGGCACCACTTGGTTTCTACCTTCCTGCTGACTCTGGAGAGAAGGTGTCATTGGGTGTCACAGTGATGCTGGCACTCACTGTCTTTCAGTTACTGGTTGCAGAGATCATGCCCCCCTCTGAGAATGTACCACTAATTGGTAAGAATCAAATCCCAGTATGTGTGATAGTGATGCACTACAAATCTGTTCACAGATTTTCTCATCTTATTTCCTTCCACAGGAAAATATTACATTGCAACAATGACAATGATTACAGCCTCCACTGCTCTGACCATATTTGTCATGAACATACACCACTGTGGCCCTGATGCCAAGCCTGTTCCCAAATGGGCCAAGAAAGTCATTCTGCAGTACATGGCCAGAATGTGCTTTGTTTATGAAGTTGGGGAGAACTGCATGTCACCTCAGCCAGAGAAACAGGAGCCTCCTCCTGTACAGAACACCAACTGCACCATGAATGGTCAGGCGGGACCGGGCAGAGAGGACTGCATCTTCAGAATGGAGAGAGGACAAGAGATAGTGGGACCTATGCCCACAGAGGAAAAAGAAGACATGGATCAGATGCTGTCTCCTATAGGCTCAATCGGGAAGAACCCTACTAGCAACTACAGCTCTTGGAAGAATGGCATTTTTGCAAGTCTGGACTGTGGTGACTCAGGGGAGGGGAGGAGATGCAGGAAGGGAGGAGTGAGTGATGGAGAGAAAAAAGACAGAGAGATTTCCTGCAGCACCCAAAGCAATGAAACACAACTCTTGCGTAACATAGAGTATATAGCCAACTGCCACAGAGATCAGAGGGCCACACAGAAAAGGACTGGAGAGTGGAAGAAGGTGGCCAAAGTTTTAGACCGCTTCTTCATGTGGATTTTTTTCATTATGGTGTTTTTCATGAGCCTTCTCATCATGGACAAAACCATATAACTGCAGACCTTTTCAGAAGGTTTGGTGACAGCATGAAATGCCGTTAATAGCATAAAGATTATTCCAGGTTAGGACAGGAATCATCCAGTATTATCAGATTCTGTAAAAGTTTCTCATATTTGCAGGAATGTTTGAGATTTCACTTCCTATTACAAACCTTTTTGTGAGTAGAATTAAATCTTTGATAAAGTTGTTGTTTATGGACTTTCTCCCCTTGCTATGTGAAAGTTATTCCACTCACCCAAGAAGTGGGAAGTTCTTTTGTCAAATCTATATATTTTATGATAATTATATTTTTTTTCAGTCGTTCACTTTTGAGTTCTTCTTTTAATAAATAAAATACAGATTAATTTCTATACAGGAACTTTTATTTCCCCTTTATTTAAGGTGTTCATAAACTAATATCAACAAGCAACAAATAAATATTATCCGCTGTTGCTTAAGAAATGTCTTATTGTTGCAGGAAAATTTAAAATGTCCACATCCCAGAAAAGAATAAATTAATTTACTGATACAAAATGAAATAGTGAAGTGTTGAAATAAACACACAGATCATTTAAGCAGCAAAAACAGTTACTTGCAGTTTCTTTGAATACTTAATTAGCCACTTGAGACTGACTGCTGAAAAACACAACTTTTGAGCAGAAATAAACATGTTCTCGTCCTGGTTCACAAACCATTTAGGTCTCTATAGGAAAATATCCCCTTCATAACAAATTTACAGGGTGATTTATTATATATTTGAATTATTTTTTATTTTTTTTATGGCTCACCCATTTAAAATGCACTGTGACTTATGCAAGAGGTATTAAAGTGTTAAAGACGCATTGCTCACTTAATGAGACTGGGTATCTGCACTAATTAGCAGGTATCTGTAATGCATGGTTAATTATAGATGTATGAATGAACCTAATGTGTCCCTTTTGTATCCAAAAAGCCTAAATGGTAATGCCCATAATTTTCAAATAGAGGGTCCAAAATGGGACCTCACGAACCGGTGATGTGACAGTAACTTTTATATAGGGCTTTGGAGCGTGATGTCACAGGGGTGGGCGTGGAAAGGATTTTGGCCCAATCCGCCATTTTGGGGGTCTAAGGCACACACAACAGCCATGGTTCGTTCTTGCTGCGTGGTCGGCTGCAATGTTCGATCGCACGACCGG